GTTCCTTTAAAAAACCGTTAACCGTCCTCAAAGAACTTCACCGCTGCTTCTACTTCGAGTATCCTTTGCGTTCCCAGGAAGAGGAATCAGCGGTAGCTATCATGGTAACTCACTAGATGAGTAATAATGTCGATACGACTGGACAACGGTAACCGTGGCAACTGTAACCTGCAATTGCTGCGTAACCGTTGTCGGATTTATTGTGGTAAGGGCCAAAGAGGCCAGGAGTAAAATAAAGCAGGCAGCGATGGTGTCTGACACTTCAAGTATCAAGCACTTTAATCACAGCTGGCAGAAATTAACTCGGGAGGAATTTTGCAAGAGTTTTCCACGCACTTTTGTGCTGAGGAGCTATCAATGCCAGAGGGCAATCGCGTGTAGAAGCCTGATGACAAATAAATAGGCAAAGAATTTACACTTGTAGATCCAAAAAGGGGGAAAGAAAGCAGTATTAAAATGCAAAATACCCAGAATAAAAACCTTATTCCCAGCAAGAGCTAAGGGTACCTGAGTTATGTTTCATGGTTTCTGAGCTCGGAGGACAGGGAATAAAATTAGCTACTTTGGTAGAAATTTCACAGACATCCCGCATCATTCAGTGGGAAAGACACAATTGTTGGTTGGGGCAGTTAACTCCACCGTCTAAGGGTAATCGATAAAGCATATCAAGAATACAGTACATGTCCCAGTGCTAGGGCGTGTCGAATTTTTCAACTTTCAATTTGCAAACATTAGGGGTGCTCAAAAGTTGTGACGTGCCTTGGGGATTGTAAAGATACTTTGCTTACTTTAATATAATTTAGATGTGCTGGGTAAGTAACTACGTAAATATCATAACTTTTTAACATTTTGTTTGTTTCACCAACCCAATTCCAATGTCTGAATATATATATATATTCATGTGTATTCTGGTTTAGGGCTATTATTGAGTCTTCCTGCCAAAGTGTCAAAGTGTTTAAGTGTAGTAGTGTCAGAGCACAAGTATACAACTGAAGTATTTAGGCCTATTGAAAGATGGATCCATGAACCTGCTGTAGAAAGGTATGAGGCCTTAAACCACACCGTCACCCATCAAGGAAAAAAATTATCTACTTCTCCTCACTTCAGGCTTGGTCTAAACCCAGCAGAAATAGATATGGGGGCCAGGCTGAATATTATTTGCTGCTTTGTAACCATTTGTGCTGCTTTGCGGCAACTCACACAATAAATTGCTGGAGGCAGTATTTAACTGGCAGAGCCTTAGACAGGCTTCAACAGAGACCCATCCAAGCTCTACTAAAAGCCCAATTAAGCTGCAAATCTTTCCCTGCTAATATTTTTTTAGAGCGATTAAAAAGTAAAGTCATGTGAAAAGAAACCAGTTAACTCTTAAATAAACTATTAAGCTATCTATTTTGTGGTTCCTGTATTTAGGAGTGCAGAATCTACAGATTTTTTTTTAAAAAATGTGCATTTTGCTGGCCAAATCTCTTTCCTGCAGCAAAAGGTAATTGATGGACTGTGGTCTAACCAGTCAAATGAAGCAATCAAAACTTATTTGCCTCAGATAAGCACTCATGAGGCTATAATGGTTTCCTGAATTAAAGGTTCTTTGCTGATGGGTCGCCAGAGATAACACAGGCTATCCCAGCAAAATACTTGTTGAACAAGAGGGAAGAACACAGAATCATTATGCACAACTTCAATGCTCTTCAAATAGGCACCGTGTAAAGCAGTGAGCATTCACACAATTCAACCTCTCTGCACAATAGTCATTTAAACATTCCCAACCCTCTTGATGGCAGGGTTGGCCGTTAAGCTGCATTGTAAATTTTAGTGTCTCACGAAAAGTATTTCTAGAGGAAATCTTCTTAACAGTGAAGTCTTTAAATAAAATGCAAAATGCAACGGCACCCTCCAGTGAGAGTATTTGGGGAGGCTAAAATATGAAAACATTGAATTGATCACTTTTTGTTAACCAACGACTGCTTGTAGTTTTATGTTTCTGCTTTAGAACATTATATCAGGAGAGTTGATACTATTTTACCGGGTTCTGTTAATAGGGTGGATAAATAATAATGCTATTTAAATTGGTCCCCTGGCCCAAAACAAGTTCCGATTGTACTACAGAAACATTTTAGTTCAAGCTCATAGTTTGATCTTAAGTCAGCCAAAGAAAAACTGGAGAAGAGAGCAAAGAATCACATACAGCAGCATCTAACTATGTCTAATATTCCTCCACAGAACACGTTCTCTTACTACTGTGTTTCCACTAAACAACAAGCATAAGAGCCCCTTTCTTTAGCAAGTTATTTCTTAATTGTAAATGTCAGATAATTTACTCCTGACAAGCTTTAATAATTTCCAAAGGTTTATTGTACACAAAGTAGCAGAGAAATGCTGATTAACTGAATACAATTGCTACCATGTAAACAACTGAATGTGATCTAAAATATAAACATTCTCAAATCATCTGAGAAAAACATGTCTCTAGGAATACAGGTAATTTATTATATTTATTAAGCTGTGCTAATACAAGGCTTAAAGACGTTTATCCTGGTAGATTGGTTTACAGTAAGCCTTAGGCTTAAAGAATAATTATCTTATAATTTCCTACACATACTAATTTCACATTGGACATGCTGCTGTATTCATGAAACTATAACACTAAAGCTACGATAGTTTTTGGCTATTTAAAATTATATGATAAAATATTCCCTTAAAGTTCTACTTATTTTACAACTACATATTATAAATGAAACTTTCTCTCTTTCATAAAAATCATTAGTTTCATAAGCTTTATAATTACATCAATCCTTTTATGGAATTCTGTACAAGTAGAAACTTGGTTTACTCTGTAGATGAGAGAATGTATGAATATTTACATCAAAGAAAATTTGTTTTGACTTTTACGTCCATCGATCATAGATCCACTCAAATGTCAATTTTTGCTACCAAGTCCCAAAGCAGTTAGAACAAAGTATTTTTTAGAAAAAAGCTTTAATTCATTTAGAAAGAAAAACAATAACATTAACACAATGCATCTTATAGCAAGAAATAAAAAATAAAAATACTTTGTAGAAACCTACAGATTTAAAATGCTAAATGTGGGATACCAGATTTTTAAAAACAAACACTGTTTTAAGGAATCATCTTTACTACTTCAATTTCACTGTATTCATTTCAGAATTTTTAATGCTATTTCTAGGCAAAGTGGCTTAAGAAACTCAAAGTACAATTAACAGCACTGTATATAATAATAACAGACTAATAGTAAGTGCCATGTTTGAATTTACTTTCTGATATCACCATTGATAACTTAAAGAGGAAGGAAGCCCTGGCATGCATTTTCAATATTTCCAACAAAATAATTATAAGATTCTAAGACTATAGCAAACAATGAAACATAATGTTTAATAGAGGAAAAATTAAAATGTTGACTCTCCCAGTAATTGTTGCCAATATTGCAATACGCAGCTATATAACACTAAAGTGAGTAATCCACCACATTTGTTTAGTGTTCCTTGAAAATACATTGATGCAATCAAAATGTGTCACAAATGTGTCAAAATGTTTCAATATCAGATACCCTCCATTTTGATAACAGATGCCTGTTTCAACACAACTTTTTATTAAATTGATCTACCTTGCTTGCTCAGGGAAAGTTTAGTAGGTATATCGATAAAGTTTATATTTTATTCTGTGAGGATTGAAAGAGGTTTTGGCACATGCATGCATATAGGTGTATTTATACATAAATTCTGTGGGATTTTTGTCTCTTCTTTTGTTCTTTCTTCTGAACATCAAACCACCACCACAAAAAGTTCTCCAGAGGGATTTCTCAGTTTCAAACATGAACTAATACACTGCCAGAAAATATCAGTTCAACCTAATGGCAAAGAACCGCTGGCCCTGGGAAACAGGAAGGAAACTTTTGGTGCCCGCTTTGCAACTGGCAAGATTGCAACTGTTGACCAGAGCAAACCCTGATGATGCCCAAAAGGATACCCGTGCAATGACATAACACAAATACCACTAAATGTGTCAAGAGTTTCTGACACCAGCAGATAAGGTACTTCAGATACCTGCTTTCTCCTCCCTTCTATGGAACTCATGCATCTCATCATTCCAACATTTTGTTGAGATATACAGTGTATACATGTGGTCCTCGACTTATGGCCACAATGGAGCAACTATTTCTGTTCCTAAGTAAGATACTTGTTAAGTGAATTTTGCCACGTTTTACAACCTTTCTTGCTAAGTTGTTAAGTGAATCACTGCAGTTAAATTAGTAAGACGGTTGTTAAGTGAATCTGGCTTCCCCTTGACTTTGCTTGTCAGAAGGTCATAAAAGGGAATCCCATGACCCCACAACTGTCATACAGTAAATATGAGACAGCTGAATTTTAAGCACGGAAGGTGCAGTGGTCGTAAATGTGACAAACAGTCACTTTTTTCAGTGTCGTTGTAATTTTGAACGGTCGCTAAATAAATTGTTACAAGTCGAAGACTACCTGTATAGAATATATAATCCCCAAAGTCAAGAATGGACTGGATTAGATCCACGGATGGATTAGAACAGGGCTCTCCACCCTTGGCAACTTTAAGCCTGGTGGACATCAACTCCCAGAATTCCCCAGTGAGCTGGCTGGGGAATTCTGGGAGTTGAAGTCCGCCAGGCTTAATGTTGCCAAGGGTGGAGAGCCCTGGATTAAACTATTCCATATAAAAAGACGACATTCTGACAAATTCTCATTCCAGAATGTATTCCATTTCCATTAAAAAGCAGTGAGAGAGAAAAGTCTGGATTTTCTCTAAATCAGATTCAAAATAGATATTACTCATCTACAATAATTGGAGCAGACATACACATTATCAGGAAAGGAAAGGATTAACCAGGAGGTTCTCAGTGGGACAGGTGTTTTTTTTTATTTTATTAAACAAAATTTAATTCATAAGGTAAAAGTGTAAAGGAATATATCAAATGCTTCTGAAACTGACACAAAAATAAATCTACTTACAGTCTGTAGAGTTTTGGGGTCCCAAGAAACAGCAACTCAGACAGAAGTTGAAGATTATTTCTATTTAGCCTCCTTTATGGGAAAAAAAAGAAAAGAAATGACAGAGTTACCACTCAAATACCAGTAATTCTTTCTTTAAACAAAGAACTCTACCAAGAGATGTCAAAACTAACAGAATAATAGAGTTGGAAGGGAACTTGGAGGTCTTCTAGTCCAACCCCCTGTTCAGGTAGGAAACCCTATACCATTTCAGACAAATGTTTGTCCAGTCGCTTCTTAAAAACTTCCAGTGTTGGAGCATCCACAACTTCTGGAGACGAGTCCTTCCACTGATTAATTGTTCTCACCGTCAGGACATTTCTCCTTAGTTCTAGGTTGCTTCTCCCCTTGATGAGTTTCCATCCTTTGCTTCTTGTCCTGCCTTCAGGTGCTTTGGAGAATAACTTGACCCCCTCTTCTTTGGGGCAACTCCTCAAATACTGAAACACTGCTATCATGTCTCCCCTAGTCCTTCTTTTCACTAGATTAGATATATCCAATTTCTGCAATTGTTCTTCGTATGTTTTAGCCTCCAGTCCCCTAATCCTCTTTGTGGCTCTTCTCTGCACTCTTTTCAGAGTCTCAACACCTTTTTTGACATTGTGGCTACCAAAACTGGACACAGTGTTCCAAATGATCACCTTAGCATGAAGTCCCCATGGCCTGGAGAGAGAGCTTTCATGACAGGAGTCACACTAAGAAAGGTAAGTCACAAGAACAACCCTAATTTCATATTTTATTTATACGTGTGAAGGCAACAGGCACATAAATGCATCAAATTCCAACTCCTTTGTTCTCTTCCATATCAACAAGTAATGTCTAGCAGGGAGCAGGGAGGCTTTTACACCAGGAGGAAGTGATTGGACTTGAAGAGAACTGTCACAATTCGTGTTCCTTCAGAGAGGACTGCCGGCTGAAGTGACAGGAGCGACAGCAAAGCAAAGCAAAGCACTGAGAGATTTCCAGTGGCAAAACACGAATAAAATCCCTGACATGATGACAGGCAGGAAACGGAGAGATGCCTATTTGAGAGAAGACAGACAGAGTCCCTCCCAATGGAAACAGAGTATTAAGGAGGCTACCACCTCAAGAGTACAGGTATCCTCGACTTACGACTACAACTGAGCCTAAATTTTCTGTGTCTAAGCGAGACAGTTGTTAAGTGAGTTTTGCCCCATTTTCCGACCTTTTTTTCAGTGCCGTTGTAGCTTTGAATGGCCACTAAATGAACTGTTGTAAGTCGAGGACTACCTGTATTCAAACGGAGAAACTACTTCAGCCCACAACCTGTACAATAATCACCTATTTATGTAAGGGAAGGAGATGTGCAAACTCCAACCGCCTGCCCAAAGCCATTAATTTTGATTTTGAAATTTCCCGTAAGGAATCCCTCATAACGAAATATTATCTTGCCAAGGCAGCCCTTTGATTCCCCTCTGTGTCCAGCTACCCAGGAAATTAATCTTTTGAGGCTAATTTCCTGAGGTACCCATTTGATATTCCCTAAGATACCAATTCTGATTAAACTGTGTTCTTCCACATGCATGAAGCAAGGAGAAACACAAATCTTAGTCTAAAGATTTGATGGAGGAGATCTTTTATGAATAATCAAGTTAGAACATAAATAGGCCAGCCTTTCTGGAACACGATATATTGCATCAATTATGGATCACAGAGCATTTTGAGCATCAGCAAACAAACTCCCCTTTATCAATAAACTTTACAGCAGTGTTTCTCAACCTTGGTAGCTTGAAGATGGGTGGGCTTCAATTCCCAGAATCCCCCAGCCAGCCAGCTGGCTGGGGGATTCTGGGAGTTGAAGTCCACCCATCTTCAAGCTACCAAGGTTGAGAAACATTGCTTTAAAGTAAGGGTGCAAACTAGCAGAAAACCCCATGGTTACTTGTTGTAGCAATTCAGGTTATTCACAATGTCTTATATGAAGAATTTGAACATAATATTCTTTGTTACATCGTTCTCAGCACAAAATAACAACTGCTTCTTCTATTAAAAAAAAGCTCAAACACAAGATATTATAAAGCTGAATATAGCCAAACCTACATCATATTCAGTAACCATGATCTTCCCTGCACTCAAACTACATAATTGGTTCTAAACTGCTTGATTCATTATCCCTTTAGCCGAGTGTATTTAGGAGGTGAGCAGGCTGAGCCCAAGGAAAGGGTCAAACACATCAAAAGTCACGAATCCCTTCACCTCCGCAAGAAATCGAAGTCCAGCCTACCCTGAATGCCTTTCTTATCTCCCGCTCATTTCCTTTGGCTGTTAGTTGGCCAGATTCTTGTAGAGAGCTTAAGCTTGCAATAAATCTTAATACGCCTTTGAACTGCCTAAATCTCCTAATTTCCCCAGCGCTTCGGTTACAACTTTTTTTTTCTTCAGCAAATTCTCTTTGTAAAGTTGTTCAGGATAGTTAAGAGATCTGCTGGAGCAGCATCAGAAGAGCCCCTCTTTTTAGTTAAATCCTCTGTTGGACCTTCCGGAGAAAGTAATGGGATGCAAATTCTGTCGCTATTGGTTTGCACATGGGTGCGCGTGCGCTCACACGCAGCACTTCTGCGCACGCACAACACTTCTGCGCATGCCCAGAGACGTCCGGGCAGGTGGGCAGAGCCTCCCACCGCCTCCACTACTGGTTTGCCTGATCCAAGGCGAACTGGTAGCAACCCACCACTGGGAGAAACATGTCGGAATCCAATCCAGCATAAGTACAGTGCAATTAATCACAGAAAAGGCAACTTAGTGAATGCTGCCTAATTTCCCCCCCCCCAAAAGCATTATCCATCGTGGAACATGAGATACTGGCAAATACCCATGCAAACTCTTGAACAAATGCTAAGTGAAAAAATTACAGACTGGAACTAAATTTATAGCTCTCCTTCAATATATAAAAATAAAGAACACAATTCTTCTCTGATATGACATCCACCAGATGTGGTTGAGCAGGAATTCCCCCCATAGGGAAATCAGCTGGTAATTTTAAGAATTGTAGTCTCAAAACATCTGTCTCGGAAAGGCTGCTTTGAACCAATTTCATTATTTCTACCGGTTGTCTAATTTCATCCATATGGTTAGATAACCTCACTCTGCTAATTCTTATACTGACCACATTTGATGACGTTCCTGATCATTTCTAGCAAAGTGGATTTAATTCATCTTAATTTTATGCTTGAAGTAATGTATAAAGCTATTTCCACATCAGAACAATACTTTGCATCTACACCTTCTTTAAAAAAAAAAAAAAATCTCACAGTAGCGAGTAAGAATTGTTTAAAATGATTTATATCATCCTTGTCGGAATAAAAAAATAACATATATTGGCATTCAATGTACCACTTAATGGTGTAAACCTATGAATAGTTCCTTGTACCCAAAGTGGTGCAGATGTGGTGTTTGAACAATAATCCACCATATGCACTCATCAGTATTTTGTAGCCAAACAGAGTTTGTAACAAGGAATCCCTGGACTTTTTGGCATGACTAAAATAGATTTGGCAAAAACATTGCTGCAAAATTAAAAAGGTCTAGGTAATTGTTAAATTGTGATATTTCAGCAATGAATGCAGTGAATCTATTTTTTAAAAAAAAAACCAAAAGCTTTTCCATATATACCTGCAAAATAAAAACCAAACAAATAAACAATTCAGGTTGCTGCTAACGTCCTTGTTCTGCGTTGGAGAGCTGGCATTGGCTGTTGTTTTTCTTCCTAACTCTTGCTCTGCATGCGTTTGTTGCTAAAGCTTGGCCTTGGGAGGCCAGAATTAGCGCCTTGATCTTTCTTCAACTTTCTTTGCTCTTAGCCATTGCCAGGTCTTGTTGCTTACATCCTATATACTTTCATTAACTTTTAAAAATAAAAATATGTTAACAAATGTCCATTTGGGTCAGAAAGAAGGCTAAGAAAACGTCACATAAACTGTTTCAACTCCTACCCTCAAAACGACGCTATAGAGCACTGCACACCAGAACAGCTAGACACAAGGACAGTTTTCCCCCGAATGCCATCACTCTGCTAAACAACTAATTTCCACAACACTGTCAAATAACTTACTAAGACTGTATTACTATTATTCTTCTCATCCTTCCTAATACCTATCTCTTCCTGCTTATTACTATAACCACGTTGCTTGTATCTTTCAAATTATATTGTGTTTATTTGTTTCCTAGTACGATTTGATAGTTTATTAGTAACCTTGGCTATCACTAAGTGTTGTATCTTTTTATTCTTGATTAATGTATTTTATTCTCCTTATGTACACTGAGACCATATACACCTAAAACAAATTCTTTGTGTGCCCAATCACACTTGGCCAATAAAGAAGTCAAGTCAAGTCAAGTCAAGTCAAGTCAAGTCAAGCCAAGCCTAGCCTAGCCTAGCCTAGTCTATTATGCACCGGAGACAAATTCCTTGTGTCTCTAATCCCACTTGGCCAATGGGATAAGAAATTCACAGCCAAAAGCTTGCATGGTTTCCAACATGAATGAAACGAGGCTGGCATGGTCAACACACAACTGAAGCCTTTCGATGGGCAGTGATGTTCTACTCTGGGTCATGCAGAAATGGATAAGTAAGTAAATATATGAATAAATAATTAATATTTGCTGCATGCCATGTAAGAACTGAAAGGTAACCATTTCAAAAACTGCCACTCAGTACTTCAGAGTGTTGTAGTGTTCCAAAAAGTAATTCCATAAGTTTACAGGAACATAATTGAAACTATAGGTAGCCCCTCAATTTACAACATTCATGACTGTTTGAAGTTACAACAGCACTGATAAAGGGGACTTATGACCAATTTTCACACTTACGACTGTTGCACCATCCCTGCGGTCACATGATTAAAGCTCAGAGGCTTGGCAACTGACTCACACTTATGATGGTTGCAGTGTCTCGAGGTCATTTTGTGAGCTTTTGTGAGCTTCGGACAAGCAAAGTCAATAGGGAAACCAGATTCACTTAACAACCGGGTTACAACCAGGTTGTAAAATGGGGCAAAACTCATTTTACTCAG